TTGCCAGTAGCTGTTTGAGCAATGTCTCTCCACCCAGAGGGAGGTCTTCTCGCCGTGGGTGAGGCCCATTTGGCCTCGATGACCTGCAGCGGCTGCCAGACAGGAGGTGGCAGGATGCTTTGCACCAGTAACTGAAGCATCACCAACTCGTCAAGGTGCTTGAGTCCTGTTGCAGCGAGTGCCAGGGGAACCCAGGGGGGCAGAGGCAGAGCACAGCTGAGATGGGCACAGCAGTAGTGTCGCCAGCTCTGCTGGGAGGCTGAAAGGGCTTCTCGTCCCCACAGCTCTCCTGGCCCTCCTCTTTGACCTGAAAGCCCTGGTTGACATGATGTCCATCGGCACACTGCTGGCCTACTCGCTGGTGGCTGGCTGTGTGCTGCTGCTCAGGTGAGGCTGCTGGGGACAGGGCTCACCTAACTTCTGATGTTGGCCATGCCCAGAGGTAAAGACAGTGGCCTTGGTGCACTGCAGGTACACGCTCATGTGCCTTGATATCCAGTATCTGCTCCCCAGGTATCAGCCTGAACCCAGCCCTCAGGACGCTCCTGTGGGGAAGGTCCTGGCTGTGAGGCTCTGGTGGGACCATCTTATCCAGCCGTCCCCGCATCCCACCCCGCGTACCTCTGCTGTGGTGGCCTGGGCTCTGACAGCCGTAGGTATGCCCGGGAGCGATGGACGGCTTTATGGGGGAACCCACGGGGGACATCACTGCTGTAGCATGGGCTGGCAGGTTCCTGCTCATTGATAACCATCTGGCAGCGGGATGCAGGCAGAGCCTGCTTGGCTCCATCCTGCCCTCTCCTGACTGCCTTCTGCTTCCCAGGCTGAAGGGAAAGCCTAAATCCCCTGGGATAAGCTGCCCAACCCTGTCCCCTGGTTGCCCTTTGTCCCTCCTGCCATGGCAGCCTTGGGTGCTGCACCCTGGGTGAGGGATGGGGAAGGGCTGCCCTGAATCGCTGCCGTGGTCCCTCCGCAGCCGCCCTGGTCTGCGCCGTGAGCGGGGTGAGCATCGCTGGACTGCCCTGCCTCCGGGCCGCGGGCGCCTGGTGCATTGCTACCCTGGTTCTGGCTCTCCTGGGGATCCTGGCAGCAGCTCTGCTCATCTGGAGGCAGCCTCAGACCCGGGAGAGAGCATCCTTCACGGTGAGCACGCAGCCCAGCCCTTGGGGACCGTCCCCAGAGAGAGGGACCTGGGGGACAGCGAGGAAGGAAGCGCCGCAGCCCCATGGGGAAAGGGTTATGTTGCATCGCGGGGTGTTCCCTCTGCTTCAGGTCAGGCAGATCTTTGCTGCATCCACCTTGAATATAGTGCTGCTGGAGGCATGGGGCAGCTCGTGGGGTTTTCTGAGGGCTGCTGGTTCTTCACCCCATAACTCGCAGGCCAAAGGGTCATCTCCTGCAGCCCCAGCTGAGCCCAGAGCCTGCTGCACAAAGCAGAGCTGTTATTAATAAGAAGATACCTGGCCCTGACACCCTGGCTTGCTTTCGCTAGTGGCTTACTGCCTCTCCCTTATATCCTGCAGCAACTCCTTCCCGGGTGCAGGGCCTGTCAACAAAACCAGCACTCTCCAGCACAGGCTGCAGTCCCAGCTCAGGTCTCCAAGCCCTGACAGCCACGCTGGGCTTCCTCTTGCCTGTTGGCGACCAGCCAAAGCAGCGAAGAGCTGATGCTCTACTTTGCTACTAAAAGAGCTGAATTTGGCAGCGAAACCCCTGCCTGCGGGCCAGCCAGTGCCTCCGGGCGAAGGCAGGACTCCATTCCCTTCTGCTTGGTCCCTGCAGGTTCCCTGCCTGCCCTTCCTGCCGCTCCTCAGCATCACCATCAACAGCATCCTGATGGCCCCGCTCAGCGCAGCCGCCGGGCTGCGGTACCTCCTCTGGATGGCCATTGGTAAGCTCTGCTGCCCTCGAGGTCCCGGAGCGGGCAGCAACCTCTTTGGGTGAAGCATAGGTGGTTTGAGAGCCCGTGGCATTGATGCTGGCTGCAGAACGGTGGTGGGCGGGTGGAGGAGATGCTGAACTTTCACGTCAAAGGGTGGTGGGAGCACCCCACCCTCTGATGTGTTGCCCAAAGGAGTAGGAACTTTGTGGCTGGGAGGAGAGGGAGGAGAGAGGACACCCTATTCTGTCCATTCCCAGGTTTTCTCATTTATTTTGGCTACGGGATCCGGCACAGTGCGGAGAGCTGCCAGCCCGAAGGGGCAGCCACTGGAGAGCCGCCGGGAAGCACG